ATCAACATTATCCATTGATACATAGACAGAATCTTTCCATCTTTCCCTGCTAGAGAGTGGAAATAACAAAGTAACTTGGAGAATAGATCTGTATTACTAGCAATCATTTAATAGCAAAAACTTCATGGAGGCTTTACTTTGAAACTCCTGCTTCCCACAAGACCAGAAAACCTGGGAGATCACACCAGAATTAGAAAGTGCCTGCGTGACACGTCTGAGATTGAGCTGCATACCTCTCCTTCCTCAAAAGACTATTTTGATAGCAGACTTAGTTCAGCTTATTTACAGGTTTGCAGGTCACTTTTTAACTTGTCCAAGCATATGCCAGGCATGTGTGCAGCAGCCAGATAACTTATAATTTAAGTAATTTCTGAAAACAACATGCAGAAACAAACATTTAATACAGATGATTATCACTTATACTTTGATTTTGGCTTCATACTACTATCTTTGCATCACAGTATTTAATTACACTCCACATTTCCTTCATGAGTCATCGTTGCATAACAAACCTGATAGCCACTTTATGGGTGTGTTGCAGGTTTGCACAATTAACTGAGTCTATTGGACTGGAAATGACGATTTGTATTAACTGAAAAGATCATGTGGCTGCACAGTTTGTGGGTGTTGGTTTATTAGAATGGAAAGTGCCAATTAGAGAAGGAGAAAACAAAGACAAACTAATGATGTTTTAAAGAGAAGTACCTGTGACTTCCTGGAAATGCTAAAGTTTATCTGGGATAGGATTCCCAGGTACTAAATTACAAATAAAATTATACTTCCTCTGTTCATAAGCACGTAGGAATGGCAAAGGAGGAAGCACAGGCAATGGAGGGAGAACAAAACACAGAAAAACCCAGGAACAGGACAAGAGTTTCCATGCCAAGGCCACCACCACTATCACCCCCACCTTGCAGCTCCTGCCCAGTAAAGTCTGCTCAAGTTGGTCACACAAGATGCCCTGAACCCATAAAGAAGTCAGGAGGAGGAGAAGAGGCTTCCACCAACAAATACCAGTTCCCAAAACTGCAGTGACCCCACAGAGGATGGAACAGAGTGCAAGGCTCAAGACACCAGAAATTTCTACACTTGTGGATGTAGAGCTTTGGCCATGCAGGTGCAGCCTCCCCACCCAGACCCTGCAGCACTGCTCTCCCTGCAGAGCTATTTCCAGCCATGCAACAGGAATATTTTTCTCCTCTCCATATTTTAAGCTCAACAACAAATTCAGTTCAATCATACTTTATTCTTCACACCTACTTTCAACATCTCCATCTCATTACCACAAGTCCTTACTAAAAATATAAATACCAGATGCCTCCAAACTGACTAAAGGTTATATATTCAACTAAGCTATTCACACCATTTTGATTAACAATTAAAGGGCAATATGACAACATAATTTAAGTAGTAAAAGATGTGCTAAAAATCCAAGTTAATTATCTGCTCAAAATTCCCCGAATTGTTTTGCAGAGTACTTAAACCCAAAAGATACATACAGAATCAGAGAATGGAGAAACATACAGAATCAGATTGTTCCCTTAATTTGTGTTTTTATAATTGAGAGACAACATTTTAAATACTTCTAAATAAATATTTAAAATAACTATCAGCTATTTAATTCTAAGAGCCAAAATTCAGATATGTTGACCAACATAATAGGTTCTGTAGAGATTCACTTCTCAGAAAATTAGTGTTTTATTAGTAGGCACAAATCCACTCAGGTGAGTAGAGCATTAGGCTCTGGAATTAAAGACATCAGTCATAAATAGACATTAAAACATATGTCAGATTTTGACATGCCAAAAAAAAACCAGAAGAAAGTTCACCAGCACTGTCTCAGTGTGTTGGGGGTGTCTGTGGTACAGGATGAGTAGTGCAAATACAAACATCTCAAAATACAAATGCTTGGCAGACAGTTGTGTCCCCTTCCACATGCCCCACATAGGCAGAATCTTAAATATGAGTAAAATTAACTTTATACTACTTGGGAATCAAGTTACCAAACTATTAATTTCTACAATGATACACTTAGAACTGTTTCCAAATACTGTTTCTATATATACAGCTTTTCCACTGAAATTACTGGTTCAGAATGAGAAACAGATGAGTTGTACTCCCACTGTCCTTCCTGCTCAGTCTGCTCTTACCTCCCTGACTCACCAAAGCCACTCACTATTCCACCTTCAAATCTTGCAAAATCTGTGAAATCTCCTTACCCTGCTTTCAGAGGTCTCAAAAATGCCCATGTGATACACAAGGCATCTCAAGCTTTCCTGGGTGATTTTTTTTTAACAGCCTGTTATACTTTTAGAAGGCTGTCACTTTTGCCTACTCTTTCTTCTGTAGAAATCACAAGGATGGATATTGATGGTTTTTGGTTGTTTTTTTGGGTTTTTTTTTGTGAATTCATTCAGTGCAGGTAGCTCAGGGTGTAGTTCAGGTAGAGTTCTGGGTGGGCAGAGCACCAAGCAAGAGGTCATGAACTGCTGACCCTTAGCACAACAAAGGGCCTGGGCACTGTGGCCAGCCAGGGGAGGGACACAGAGACAGCAGCACAACCCCTGGACTTTTCCATGCTTAGACTGCAAGGATATAAAAGCCCCTTTGTTTGGGGTCCCTTCTCAGAGGCACCATCTCAAGCTGTTATTTTGTTATTTAGTTATTTTGCCAAGATTAAATTATTCAATGGATCAGGATGTCTGTGATGGGAAACCTGGTGTGACTGTGGAAATGTGGGTGTGTAGCTGCAAAGGGGCCTTGGCCCCTGCTCAGGTAGTGTGAGTGTGACTGCCAGACAGGGATATTTCCCCAAACTCCATAAATAAACTATTTTATCAAAAGAATGGGCTATGGCATTTTATCTTTAATAGTTTAAAATGATAGAACAAGGCACATAGAAACAAAGAGCTGACTCCTACCATTACTTCCAGTCCCAGTGAAGCTTACTGTCTAATTATGACTGTAAAAGACTGATGATTTCTAGGCTTGCCAATACAAAAACACAACAGTTACAGAATCTAGCAATATTTAGGAATTTTTCAAGAGTTTTTGTTTGGTCCTGAAAACAAGGATGTAGCTGTTTTGAAGGAGAGATACCTCTACCTGCAAAATACTGTGTGAAGGCATCCAGTAGTTGTCAGGCCACTTAGCTTTGTCACAGAGACATCTGTCCATGTACTGAGTGCAGTGAGATGACCATGACAAAAAAAAAAAAAAAATGCACGCTGAAAAATAAATAGTGTAGTAGACAAAGGTAAGAGTACATGTTCTTGTGAAGGGTGAAAAGGAACTTCAGTGGTGCTGCAGACCCTAACACAGCACATTGGTGGATTCCTGGAACTTCCCCCAAACTGTCATTATGCACAACACTGCAGTTGTGTGAAATACCGTGCCTAAAGGGCATAAAAACACAAGTGAGCCCGTCAGCTGACAAGTCTTCTGGCTCTGCAAAGAAGGAGATGGGATGCACCAGAGTAGTTAAACTGGGATTTGAGTCAGCTCCTGTGTTGATATGCCCAGCATACTGTTGCAGTGGAACATCTCTGACACTGCCCTAAAAGCATACAATGCCCTAAAAGCACACAATCTTAACGGATTAAGAGAGCTCCGGGTATTTCACCAGACTAAAGCTTCCTGATGACCAGTTTACATGCACACTTTACATGCCCGAGAGCAAGAATGAACTCAGTTTGGGAGGACTGTGTAACAATGTCTCTACAGCAGGAGGAAGGAGGTAACACTTCTTGTGAGTTGTTCAAGTATTACAGAATGGATGGTAAAAAACAGATGTGGCTGTGGCCATTTCTGGGAAACACAAGTGTGAACAACCAGCTATTTTTAATTTATCGAGTTCCATTCCTGTCTAAGCTGCTACAGACTGTGTCAATATTTGTGTCCTTTTTTGATCTCTTCCCTCACTCAGCTTATGCTTATGTGCTGAAAAAGTCTGAGCACATGATTACCCCATTCAGGCAACGTGCCTTTGAAATGGCTTTTTAATCTAGACTCTCCACTCCCTGACAGACTGAATTTTGCAGTATGTCTGTATTCGCTGTCTAGACACTTGAATATGCTAACCTCTAATTTAGCCCTCCTTTACTGACCCATGAGTTTCCTCCCTTCTGTGGGTCTTCTGGCTAAACTGGAAATGCAAGACACTCATTCTGCCCTACACCTGGCTGGTGCAACTGCATTCATACAAATCTGACCAGTGAAGTATGCACATGTTCCTCATTCACAGCAACAAGGAATCCTTATGCTGAAAAAGTTTTGTAGCACTCTCTTCACCCTGTTCCCTTCTTTGTGGTCTCTAGACTCGAAGAACAGCACCGTCCTTTCCTGAAAGGATTCAGGACACAACTCCACAGACAAGGGCCTGAGCTGAATCTTGTAAGCAGAAATTAATCTTTGTACACCCAGTTACGTAAACAGAAAATTATGGAAAAGTCTAACTGAAATATAAAAGGGAATGAAAAATACAGATGCATTCCAACAGCAGCTGTGCTGCCCCAAATCCCAAGGTCCACCTAATCCAGTATTGCCTTAGCACAGGTTAAAAAAAGGAAACAAATGTTTAGGGCAGTGGGCAACTTCCCCTCCCAGTTCCCAGCAGTCTGATACAAGGCACTTTCTCTAGAGCCTTAATGGATTTTTCTTTCATCAGGCTTTCTGTGACTAGTTTTTGAAGCAAGTAAAACTTCTGGTATTTGCAGCATTGAGACAGAGATGTAATCAAGGTACACAGACAAGAACTCACAAAAGCCATGCTGTATTTCCACTTTTAGATAGTATGTTTGCATCACAAACCACTTCCACATGCCTGAAGCATAAAAGATTTGCTATCTGTGTCAGCTTCTACAGATGGCTTAAGAGACAAATTAGCATTATCCAATTGCTTTAAAGTCATGTATAGGGACAATTCAAACAAAGACTGAGTAATGGCCCCTGTTCAAAGCTGAATTTCAGCATCAGGTCTGTACAGTTGCACCGTAGCTTACCCTTGTTATGCGAGAGTCTGCACTGCTGCTCCGTGAATGCCTTAAACTCATTGTCTCTGCCCCTTCCCTTCATTCCTCTATCCCACAGGAAGCACCACAGGACACCATGCAGCATGCCCTGCACAGTAAGAATAGAAGTATAAAGGTTAACTGCCTGTAATTTGGGAGATATTCTTCCACTCATGTACCAGCACATCACCTTATGGTCACTGCACCAGTCTCTGACTTCGTGTCAGTTCAGCGAGACTGCAGCAATTCTAATGTGTCCCATCTGTATGGCTTTTTCCCCTGGTGGTTTTTTACAAAAAGCTGTATGGTTTTTTCCCATCTGTGTCCCATCTGTATGTTTTTTTTTCCCCCGGAATAAACATGCTGAAGTTGCTTTCCCTCAGTTTAGGGCGGTACATGTTCAAAACTTAGGTAACTAAGAATTTTATTATCTACGTAGTTTGTTTACATTTTCATGTCAGAGAGTACCACCAGAGTCCCTAACCTCAACGTTCATATGTAGATCCACTCTGACAGATTACCACAGAACAGAACAGAAGATAAAATGCAGCTACATAAGGATTGCATAGTTTAACTCCTACTGTGCACATCCTGGTTCTGCTTGAGGCAAAGGGTGTGATTTTTAACAAAGAGGTAAGAGCCCCATGCTAACTCATTTCTTTTGGAAGTCAGCATCCAAGCCAAGGCCAAGGTCTTGAATTTTAAACTGTTGAATAATGACAGAATTCAGGACTTGTCATGATGGAAAGATGCATTCATAAATCACCTCCTGCACTGCATTTTGCTACGTTTGCTTGTCCCAGGCAATGCCTTACTAAAGGGATCAGAAAAGCCACATTTGAAATAACTTCTGACACATGATCTTGGCTCTGCAGAAGCACCTCTGGAGGTGCAACAGAAATGAATCCACACCACCCTCACACACATAACTAGTCATGCAAAAACTAACACCACAGCATCCAACTTGCATCTTGTTTACCTCTCTTCAGGAAAGCTTTTCCTCTCTGATGACTGACCACAATTAGCTTTTCTAGTCATTAACAAGGCCAAAAAGAAAAGTGTCTAAGCTACTCATTCCCTTTCAGGCAACCAGACAGGAGGCATGCTTACCAGAGAGCATGGAAAAAAAGCCCCAAGCTTCCTGCTCAAGAGCATCTACCACAAATAAGTACGATTAAGCAATAATACAGCAGCAGCTACTGTTAAACAAAGTTGTTGTTTATGAATGAGGCTTAAAAAAAAATCACAACAATCTAAAGGATGACTGTACAGGAGTTTATCTAACAGGAGCTTTATCTATATTATCTATGTTAAAGTATATGCCTATTATTTTCCACTAAGTCTTTCAGTATTAAGTTTTTTGTATTTTTCTAGCTTCCTAAAAAGATTTTGCCTCTCCAGCTGCTGCTTTACAAGTATGCCTTTATCCCCTCAAAACAAACAGAAGGAGCAACTGAAAATTGTAAGTGATGAAAACGGGAACTATGAAGGGAACTGAGAGGACATGGAGTATCTCTGGGATTCCCTCTGCAAAGAGAATCCTCAAATGAAAGGTGAATGAATGAATGAATGAATGTTCATGCTATTCTTTTTTCACAGAATTCAGAAATTTCATTTATTAAATACAGAAAAGTCTGCTATCCATTTCCATTTACAGGAGAGGTTTAAGGCCTCTCATAATACTGAGCTGTTGTTTTAGCAGACTTGTTATTAGTATTGATGAGCCATGGTGTTGAAGACTACCTAGGAGTTAGTCTTCAGGGCACTTAGCAAATTACAAAATGTGGTTTACACATGCCTACAGAACTATGAGGTGGTTGCAAAGAAGGGAGAGAAATGGGAATGTAACTGTTAGTGCAGAATTCAATTTCCTCTGTCCTCAAGTCAGCACAGAAACTACTGCAAGTGACACCATTACTAAATGTTTTTATTCAGTAGAACAATCAGAAATGTAAGGCATGGAGTTTTAGTGAAAAAAGGCCATAGGTAAACTTATTTAACAGTGAGAGACAAAAATTCCATACAATTACACGCACGTGAACTAACACCAAAATTCTCTAAGAAAACAAAACAAGGCGTGCTGATAGAAGTACAGAGGCCACAGGGTAACACCTGTAGGGAATACCAGAAAGACTTTTTCCTGGATCAGATTCTCAGGTACAAACAAGTAAAGAAGCCAAACATCTATTATTCCTCATGTTCCACTACATGAGTTTGTCCTATGAAGTCATGTCAGCACTGTGAAAAACATTTCAAACACAAGTTTGTCCTTTGTATCCACTCTTTACAACACTTAGGGCTGTTTGCATATCAGTCAGTATGTACATCAACACACCAGAAGTTAAAAAATTAAAGAGAAAAAAAAGGAAAATAAAAATAAATTACTTTCTCCTTATGCAACTAGGACAATTTAAACTTGAGATAACTCATGTTGCAGGGCCAGCTTATCCACAGAAATAATTAGTCACGGTCTTCAAGTCCAGAACAATAGAAGTACAGCAAATACTTGGAAGCAGTCTTTGAGCACGTACAGTTCAGCACAAGCCACTGCCACAGAACACAAACATCCTGCAGTCTCTGTTAAATGTATCCCAATTCATCAAAATCACAAACCCACGCTCTGCTCCCCTCCTTCCTTTCGATGGCTTCGACTTCCCCTTATGTTCTTTTCACTTTCTCTCACCTGCATAACATGTCCAGTCAACTTTAGAGGACCTCTTAATCATTTTCCACACTGGAAATCTCTCCTAGGTTATAACACTGCATTTTTTTCTCACATCACCTGTATTTTTACAGCAGTACAACAGATCTTATGATAAGAATACTTCAGCAGGAGATCTTATTGTCCCTAAGAACAAGGGCAGGTGGGGAGACTTTCACCAGAGGTCAAAAGAAATCCCAAACAGAAAAGAGGAAAAGTCAACTGCAGACATGCACCACATCATGCACTGAAATCAGGAATTCTTTCTTACAATATCTAGTAACTATTCCAGTTTAAAGAGTATAGATAAAAGAACATTAGATAAAACATTTTGTTGATCCTATTGTTAGCACCTCTCAATGCTGGGGGCCCCACGCTTGTCTTTTTTTCTCCAACAAAGAAATTATTGTAGTGTAGAGCAAAACTGATGAAAAGACTGATTCTTATTGTTTATGCTGTAATGAACAGCATCACTTGTAAATGCTCTGAAGTCTTCAAACAGCAGCTTTCACCATTAATCTTCCTTTTCTGACCACTGCAGTTTATTTACCACCACAAATCTATGTCTAGATACAAAATACTGCCAAATCCGTGAGAGCCCACCCATATTTTCTTAAGATGCCAAAGAAATCATTACACATGAAGATTTATTTCAACAGACATATGTCTATTTCAAGAAAACTGACATTCACAGGAGCAATTCCTACAACAGCGAAATGTTCGGTGTTTTCTCTCCTTCCGGTAAGACCAAAGGACAGGGATTCCCCGTGACTGCAAAATACTCGGTCACACACGCGTGGGCAAAGCCTGGCACCACCTCAGCGCCCGGACACGTTCGCGAGAGAAAGCCATGAGGGACCGACGGGGAGAAACAAACACGGGGGGAAAAACACGGGGGGAAGCAAACACGGGGGGAAGCAAACACGGGGGGAAGCAAACACGGGGGGAAACAAACACGGGGAGCCACGGCCGCCGCCTCCCTCCCAGCCAGCGCTCCCTGCTGCCGGCGGGGACGGCTCCGAGCCCGGGGACGGCGGAGAGATGGGCGGTGAGGTGCCCGGACAGCGGCGGGCACAGGAGCGCCGCCGCCGCAGGAAACGGGAGCGCGGGGCCGGGGGAAGCTCCCTGAGGGACCGGCGCCAGGGGACGCGGAACGGGGGAACAGCGCGGAGGGACGCCGGGCGCGGCAGAACCGAGCGGCACCGCCTCGGCAGCCCCGGAGCCCGGAGGCGGCCGGTCCCGCAGGCCGGGCCGGGAGGGGCCGCCGAGGCGGAGGCGGCAGCGCGCAGAGGGCGCCCCGGGGGCCGCTCCCGCCGGCGGGCGCACAGCGGCAGCGCGGCCTGGCGCCGCCCCGGCACTCACCGGGAAGCGCCGCGGCCGCCGCGCCCGGCGGAACCGGAAGCCGCCGCGGCGCCCTCACGGCGGCGCGCGCCCCCGCCGCCCTTTCCCGCCCTCCCGTGACGAACGCGCGGCGCGGGCGGGGCGGGGCCGCGCGCGGCTCCGCCCCCCGGTATAAGAGCGGCGGCCGGCGCGCGCCGCGGCAGTGAGCGGCGCTGGGGCGGCGCATGCGTGCGGCGGCGGCGCCGGCGGCCGCGCGGAGCTGCGCGACGCTGTCGGGGTGAGTGGCGGCCCCGGCGGCCCCGCCGTGCCCGCCCGCCGCTCGGGGCCGCGCCGTCCCTGCGGGGAGCGGCGGCCGAGCGGGCCGCACACGCCAGTCGGTCGGGCCGCGGCGCCGGGGTTGGCCGGGCTCGGCGGCGCGGCGCGGCGGGAGGAGGCGGGAGCGCGCTCGGTGGTGCGGTGTGAGGGGTGTGAGGGGGAGCAGGGCCGGACCCGCCGCGGCTCCGCTGCCCCCGGGGCGGCGGGAGTCCCTCCGAGCGGGACGGGACCCGCCCGGGGCCAGCGGAGCCCGCAGCCACATTCTCGAGAGTCGGCGTGGCGTGCCACGCGTTTTCTCCCCGAGCCGAGAGAGATCGGGGCTCTCCCCTCGTTCCGAGCTGCTCCTGTGAGTAAACAACAGACCGCACTGCGGGCTCGGGCTCTGCGCTTCGCACTCTAATTTAGGCTGGCTTAATTTAGAATAAACATTTCTTTGTGACTTAATGCCTCATTACGTACTTATGCTCGATTTTCTGAAATAGCCAGTCTGTGGTGGTTAAATCTGGAGACGTGGCTGTGTCCTTCAGTATTGACAGCAGAGCGAGCAGGCCGGGGACTCGGACTTCAGAGTTCTCCTGTCACTGCAGCGCTGACCAAGGGCCCGGTGCAGTATTCTGAAGCAATAAATTAAAATTGTATTGTGCTGGATCCAAAGATAACAGTACCTCTTTACATATTAACTGGATGGGAAAGGCTCTGGGGACCAGGTGTCTTTGGTCATTTTGGGAATACCTGAATCTTGGTTGTACTGGAATGGCAGGTGAATGATGCCTCTGCATCACAAATGCATTTGTGAATTGTACTTAGAATCTGTTGAACTGCTCAATTCGCCTGTATCATTCACTCAATTTACTTTATGTACAAACTTAGCTGTGTTTCCTTAGTAATTTACCTCTGTGGGATAATTTTCTGGATTTTTTTTTATAGAAACCTACCTGTTCTTCGTGAAGCCCTATGTCTGCCATGCTCTGCAGTACAGGACTTATTTCAGAGAAAAACACTTCCAGTTCTCTGTAGTAGAAAAGAGAATTAAAACTTATCACAGTGTGTCTAACACTATGGTTATGAGTCTGAGTCAGCTAGAAAGGAATTTTTATTTCCTGAATGTAAGCTGTCTATATTCACATTAAAATTTTCAGGAGGGTGAAGTACCATACCTTAAGCATGCATCTGAAATCTGACAAGCAGAGGCAAGGCAATTGTCTTGCTATTTAATTATTAGTTTTCTACTGGCAATTTACAGGTTACTCCCATTTGCTGTGTAGGACTGTGAAATGGTAGCCCAAATTTTAACTGAACTTAAACTGCTTGATGAACTGTGGTTCTCTGAATATATTCCAAATAGCTAACAATCTAAATGCAGAGTTTGTCTACTGTTCAGTTGATTTGTCTGTCGTATACCCAAAGGATTAGTTTTATTTGCAAGCACCCATAATTTGACTGTTTAGTGATCATAATCTTAAATTCTTTACCCCAGAGTGGTCCACTTCTGATTGGCAGAATGTGTAGAAAAATATCTCTAAGTTAAGAATGTAATTCATTTATACAATAACTGTAAAGAACATAATTCCTATAAATGGAAATGCCTTCTGAGGCCTGTATCTGAGCATGCTTTGGCTTGTGACTCAGGAATACTGAACTGCACTGTGGAGTTTGGTGCATAGTAAATAAGATCTAATTATTTATCAAGTGAATAGATTTAAACTAACCTTGTCATGAGGCTGTTTCTGCCAAGTGTTGGTTAGTTAGCATTCATCTTGCTGCAAAGACAGAAGTACTTGAGGGATAAAAACGAGAGAAACAGAATTTTTAACATTTTAAAAAAGTATTTGGAGTTCTAGAAAGTATATTAACAGTATTTAGTTTTTTAAAGTCCAATATTTGGAAGTCTGAAATACTTAAATATGAAAAGGGGTGGCTCAATCTCAGGTACTTATGTTAAATAGAAAGTCAGAGGAGAAAAAGGAAATTACATCACATTGTCAAATAAGGAACAGCTAGCTGGAGTAGATGACTTGTAGTGCAAAAATGTGCCCCTCCTCCTGTGAATTGCTTCTGAGATTTGTTAAAGATAATGTGGTGGCAAGGTGAGCAAAAATAGGTTGTGGATTTAAGGTAGACACGTTTCTTCCCCTCCCAAAAGGGGTAAGCAGGTCTTTTTTTCCTTGCCCTCTTTCCTATTTCTTAGAAGAAGTAAATAAGCTCCTTGTCGAGAGTGCTGCCTTTATAAAACCCGCTGAAAGTTTGTACAGGGGTTCAGAAATCTGTACAGCAAGCTGCTGTGTTCCAAACCCATTAAGTGAAACATTCTAGAGCATGCTTTGGTCTGCTGTGCATACCAGAAAGGTTTTCTTTGTTATGAACTTAACTTGCCTCAAATACCTGGTTTCATTGGGGCAGGGAGAACAGGGAACACAGTAATAAGATTCTGTGTGTGATCGGTGATAGCTAATAGGTTGAGCTAAATATATATGCAAATGCTTCTTAGTTTCTAAACAGAGGATTACTGTTGTTATAACACAAGTATTTATTAATATGTATCATTTGGGATATTTGCCATAATTCAACTTACACAAAAATCTTTCCACAGTCCTCACTATGTAGATATGCTGTTTATGGATACACTTGACAATTTTCAGCTTACAAATAGCCATCCTGCTGAAGTCTGAAGGTATATTTGGCTTTGTAAAAACATTTTAAAAATCAATCTCCTCCCCAATACTTGCTATTATTGATATTTGTTAATACAAGCAGGTTACAAGCATTTCCTTTGCACTGTTACCATGCCTTAGAGGGAAGGGTGTCAGTAGCTTCCTAATGCACCAGCAAATCTTGGAATTGCCTTGGCTTGTAACTGCCCTGTAGAAATTACCAGCCATACTTTAGTTTGTGCTCCATTTCTCTTGAATAACACAAACTGTAACACCTTCAAAAGTGCTTCAAACTTCCTAAATGCCATAAACTGCATAAGTAGGTCAGACAAGCAGAGTAACTGAAAGCCCATTCTGTGCAAATGAGCAGCACACAAATGGGAAATCAAGAACGCTTCATTACTGCATAGTGTCCATTTTCTTTAGCAAATATAGTTTGATGTTATTTATGGCTAAGTTGAGATCCTTAAACTTTTAAGAGGCGGATTTGGGACAGCAGTTAACAGTGAAAACTGTTGATGTTTGTATTTTCATGGCTTTTGTAATTTTTTTTAACACCAATTACTAGAATATAATATATACTACTCAGCTTTAGTAAGAGCATGCTGTCTAAAATACAAATTTTGTTTTCAGTTACTATTCCCATGTCTCCCTGTTAAGATACTGTCTTCAAACAAGCTTATGCATGTTTTAAAATACAAGCACCATTTCTCTAGACTCCACTGAAGAAGTAACTAGGTGGTTTAGTGAAGGCACTACCTCTCTTGATATCCTAGCTCAAGGCACAGAGGACAGTTTCATAACTCTGAAATGTCAAGGCAAATCACCTGTGAATTTGCAAAGACGTCATTGATGAGTGAAGCAAGCTTTATGGCTGTATAAAGTGTGCTTTGTTTTTAAAATTGATTGAAACAAGTGAAAATTAACTTTTCCTAGAGTATGTAAATATTTAAGTCTGTTTCTGATGTTGAGCTTAGCATTCCAGAGAGATTTCAGAGAGGTGATTGTGCAACTATCAGTCTTGAGAGCTGAGATTTAGACAGCATTCAGAAAGCTGACACAGTAATTACTAGTAGTGGTTTAGGCGTGGGATTTGGTGGAGGTTGGGCTTCTTAACAAGCCCTGCAAGGATTGTATGTTATCACAACTAGCACGTTACATGTGCTCTCAAACTACAGCAGTTGTTCCCCCCCTCATTTTTTATATCATAATCAATGTCTCATGGTCCTGTCAGATCTTGTACACACACTGAGGTGGAGTACAATCATTTGCTGACTAATCAGTGTTCTGTACCAGCGGTTTTTTAACTTGTGACTTGCATTTGACTTCAGAAATATTGAAATGGATAGCAGCATTAGCTTTAAGCTCTCTTAAATTAATTTTCTTTCTTTTGTAGATTTGTTGCTAATAGGATCCATGAGGCAAAAAAAAAAAAAAAATCACTGTTCAATACAGCATGAGCTGATAAGATGGGTATTTTATTTGGAAATTATGTTGATATGAAGTAATTTTAGAATTGGTGTACTGTATACTTAAGTCATTAATAAATGCTTAAGTCATTTTAACAAATAGGTGTCTCTAGTGTTTGCTCCCCTGAAGACAGTGGTTCTGCTTGCACTTACAAGGACTATGTTATTACTTCATGGGGCTCTGTGTTTTTATTTAATTTTGCTATTAAATACCTGCAGTTCCTGTTAGTGGGAAGGGTCCAGCTGAACTGTTATGCAAAAATTCCTAGGGTTAAGATAGCTTTTAAGGAGGTTGTCTGAGGAGGATGGTCTTTTCTAAAATCAGGAGCAGGACTGTGCTGCACTACATAGTACACTGGTATGGCCCTCATTCACTTCTATTAAAGTCTCCTGGCTAAGTTATTCTGAAATGCCTGCCTAAAATATATTGGATATCTGGCGGTGAATAAAGCAGTCCCACTTCTGTTGACACAGACAGTCAGGATTGAGAAAACCTTCCCACTCCTGAAGAGAATGGGATTAGGTCTCACACCATAAACATACATGCAGGCAGAAGTTACTGTTTTCTTAAGATGATCAATACTGGACCAATTCAAAATTGAAAGAGCCCAGCAGAGTTGTTCTTTCTCAAACTATTGTTTATAAATTGCAAATAGTGATACTGGATTGCAAACTAATCCTTGGGCACCTGCTTTACTGTCCCTAGTCCTGTTTAGGAGTTTGCCCATCTCCCACTCTGCAGACAAACATAATGGATCCCAAAGGAAAAGGAAGATTACAAATCTGCACAGAATGCCTGGTTTTGAGCAGGTTTACCATGGGCATAAGCTACTACCTGTGCCTGTACTGCATTTTCTTGCAGTACCACACTGTGAAGGGATTTTCTTGCCTTGTTTGGTGAGCCCTGATACAGCCAGCCCTCAGTTGTTGGTTGACGTTTCTTTAGATGGAATTCTTTTGGTGGAGAGATAGGGACAAATTCACATTAATATTGTATGCTCATAGTATTGTTTCTCAAGAGAGATACAAATTAAACTGTTTTGTGTGGGTTTGGTTTGGTAGGTTTCTTGTATGTTTTTTTTAAACAGACCATATTGCCCTTGCTGAATGTAGGATATTTGTGTAGATGAAACAGAGACCCAGAGAACATATTTTTTATAGCCTTAATTTCTCCTGCCTTCAGAATGCTGACTAATTTTATATTTCCCCTTCCCCTCCCTGATGAATTTCCTTTACAAAGTCCTGTGAGTCAATTTGTTCTGTAGACTGATTACTTACTCAATATAAAGCAATTGCCAACTTATTTTTTCTGCCATAAATGGGCAAGATAAAGCATTCTTCATACATTCAAAATAGATTTGAATGCAGCACAGCAGTGTCAGCTGAGATTATTTCCAATCTATACATCTCCAATTTGTTTGAAATAGGTAGAAGACTTGAGATTGTTTTAAAGTATCTTAATGTTTAAGTTAGTTAAAAATAGTTACTGTTTTATGTAAAATAAGTTTTAGACTTCTAATTCGAGTAGTAAACAATTCTGTTAGAGCAAAGGCTGTGGAAGATAATAGTTAGCAGCACAGTAGGCTGCTACATGTTGGTTACACTGGAAGCTAAAATCTTTAGCAGAAAGATATAACTGAAAGCAACTACTGGAAGGTTAGATTGCTCCAGAAAACTTTTTTAAAAAACTTATTTTGCATGAGTAACTAGTAGTTTATGTTCAAGAACTGAAACTGTGGGATACACAACTGCCACATATCAATACCTTAACATATTGATCCTTTTTTTTCTATGCAGTGTAGTTTTTTAAGAGAACTTAACCTGTTTTGTACTTTAATTTTGCAATCAGACTCAAAACAAGAAGCTTGGTCTAGTTTTTCAGTTGGAAAGTATTAATACAGGAGCCTTTCTACAGAGCTATTTGATTCCTTGAATACTGAATTTTCAGATGAGACATGGAACAACATCAGGTTTGCATTTCTGATATTTGTGTCCTCCCTTTTGAAGGGAATGAGAACTGCAGGAAACCTGCCAAGTCCTGAATACCAAGGGTTGTGAGACATCCTCAGAGAGCACTGCACGATGTCAACTGCAGGAGTTGCTGCTCAGGAGATGAGAGTCCCCTTAAAAACCGGATTTCTTCACACCAGTCAAGGCATGGGCAGTCTGAAAACCTGCTGGGGTACCCACAGTGGATTTGAAAAGTGAGTGAAGCAAAAATTTATCTATTGCACCTTCAAGTCTATAAAATTAGTGTTATGAATACTTGTGCCAGTACAGACCTATGGTTCATTTACAGTGAAGGCATTTTTTTTCCCTTTTTTTTTTTTTTTTTTTTTTTTTTTTTTTTTTTTTTTTTTTTTTTTTTTTTTTTAGTACTTTCTTTAATGTGGACCCTATAGCAGTGACGTATAACTTAAACCCACCAGCTGAGCACCGTTTGCCACCCATGGGTGAGTACAAACCCGCCCCAGCCGCGTTGAAGGGTCGGGAATTTGTGTCGGAAAAACCCCGCGGGCCCCGCGCTGCCCCCTGCTGGCCGCTGCCGGCAAAACCGCTCTGAAAACACGCACCCCTCCCATTCGCCTTGTGCATACACTTTTGATTGAAAAACCATACACCTCTATTACACTTCTGATGGAAAAAATATCTGATAAAAAATTACTTGTTCTAGTCTTATGTTGGGATTTTGTAGCTCTCTTGTTTATGCTTGGGGTCTTGTGAACTACCTCATTTAACTGGAGCACTGGTCTAAAACAGTAAAATAATCTGCTACTGTCTTAACTTAATGCAGAAATCCACGGCCAGATGTGTTCTGTAATACCTGCATTTCACTACCTGAAGACATTAAGCAGACATTACTTACTGTTGCATTAGAAGGAATTCAGTATGCAGTGGCAGAATCATGTGCTGGAGTGTTACTTAGAAAAGAGTCTCTAAAAATTTCTCACCTTTTTAGGTCACTCTTCCAGCCAGGCTTCCATGAATGACCACGTTGCTGGAAGTTGCATCCAAGTCCCATCTCAGAAATCCAGTCCATCTCCTGTAAGTCCCAAAAATGAGCAGCCAGTTTCAAGGTACGACGACCATCTAGTTCCTGGTTTTAGTAAACTGTCATTAACCATGGGCTGTGTTTCTGAAGAAACTCCTCCTCACATGCCAATAAAAAATGGACCAATTCAATTTCTGTCTGCATCTTCTAATGATCGCAGCTGCAGGCCACTACCCCCTCTGCCTATATCTGAAGACTTTACTCCAGATGAGGTTGACAAAGAGGTAGAATTCCTGACTAGCTCAGATACTGACTTTTTGTTAGAAGATTATGAACTTCCTCCTTTTAAATCTGGTGCTCCAAGCCGTCGGAGCTTTAGGGGCTGTGGACAAATCAACTATGCTTATTTCGATGCTCCAACAGGACCAAAACCAGAAGATGCCAACCCTACCCAAAGCCTAAATGTGTACATATCCAGTATTTATCCTCCCCCACAGCAGCTGCATCGACGCCTGCGAAGGTCTCATTCAGGACCAGCTGGATCTCTCAATAAACCCATAGTAAGACTAAGTGGACACTTAAACAGGTCGTCTCCAACTTCTGATGAAGACAAACCAGAGATTCCACCAAGGGTTCCTATACCCCCAAGGGCTCTCAAACCAGACTACAGAAGGTGGTCAGCAGAAGTGGCTTCCAGTGCATACAGTGATGAAGACAGGCCTCCCAAAGTGCCCCCTCGGGAACCTTTGTCACGCAGCAATTCCCGCACCCCCAGTCCCAAAAGTCTCCCATCGTACCTCAATGGGGTCATGCCCCCCACCCAGAGCTTTGCACCTGATCCTAAGTATGTCAGCAGCAAAGCTCTACAAAGACAAAACAGTGAAGGATCTTCCAACAGGGTCCCTTGCATTCTTCCAATTATTGAAAATGGTAAGAAGGCCAGTTCAACGCACTACTATCTGCTACCAGAGAGACCTCCATATTTGGACAAGTATGAGAAATTCTTCAGAGAAGCAGAGGAGAGGAGCTCTAACACTGAGGTTCAGTCCTGGTCTGGTGACTGCACAGCCACCTCAGCCCCAGCAAAACTGGACTCAAAACCCAGAATGGACATAGGTGGTCCCCTGAAACGGAAACACCTGTCCTATGTGGTTTCACCTTAGTGTCTGGGAGCACAGTCTCAGCTCATTGCTTGGGATGGAGCTGAACTTTATCATGTTACAAAGTTCTTACGGTTCACAGATAATGAAGTAGGAGCAGTTTGTCCTCTGAGAACTGAAAAGTGGATGGTAAAGTCCTCTTATGCTGCATATATTCAATGTTTCTTGAGACTTTTCTTGTCTTGGTATGTAAGCTGAAAACCTACAAAGATTCCACAGAAACATGGAGGGATAGTAGTCACAGTTGGCCAGTTGTATGCTACCTAGATGAACATGTTTGGTAGTCAAAATTATTTAAAAATTTTTTAAAAATCGATCTTTGCTTAAGAGTCACTTATAAAGCAGACAACAGACCAAGTAACGCAGTACAGTTTTTGTAATAGCTATTTTCCAAAATTCATTTTACACAGTAATTCTACTGAGAACAGGCTGTCCTCTTTTACTAGGATATGTCTTATAAGAAGGTAAATGTGAGATATGATACCCACTTCAAGACTTGGCAGGCATATTGGAAGTGCATTTTGAAAGATTAATCTATCTTACAAATTAATTTGATGCTAATAGACTTTTAAAGTGAGTTAGATTTTGTGAATTCAGTTGCTAGACACACTTGGCTCAATTTTGCAGTTTTTCCTAGAAGAGACTTGGACCAGCTATTGCTAAGCCTCTGCTGCTGCTCTTTTCCTGCTGGATCCTAGAAACGTGTGAATGTGTCCTGAGCAGCCACAGGGCTGCTATTAGGTAGGCAGTACCAACTATGTGCTCACCTAGAGTCCGAAATTATGACTGTATTAAATACAGAAACACAGCACAAGCTGGTCTTGTGTTCTGGTTTCTGTTCAGTATTTTAGGGGAGGAAGAGGAGGATATGAGGAAAAAACATTATTCCATTTATGAACAGTGTCAGTCCCATCTCTTGCTGCTTCAGATGCTGCTTCTTGCTGTTTAATTTTTCCTCACTGTGCCTCAGCCATTCACTGAAGTTCACTGAGGTGCCACCTTGGCAATTTCTTGTGCTCAGTTTGGTTACATTTATCCTCTCACAGATAAGCACAAGAGAAAGGGTGCTCATTAACAGGGGTATAGAAGAAGATGAATGTGTTCCTCCTAACAGAAGTAAACAAGGTGTTTACAGTTTAAACTGCTGAATGAGATGTTTGAGCTATTTTAAGCTTACTTTTTATTTGTTTTAGTACAAACTAAATGAAGGTGAAATACATGCTATAGAAATGCACTGATATTTCTGCATTGTGTACAGTATTGAATAAAAAATAATTCACTTTGTATTTTGAATATTGTCATGTCTTGAGTTTAATAAAGTTATAAAATACTTATTTATGATACATTTTGGTTTTTTGTTTTATTGAATAGTGCATGCAATTGCATTTTAATTCTGCATTTTCTGGGAAGTTCAAAGTTAGTAATGTTAAATGTGCAACAGATGTTGAATTCAGCTTGCATTTAATTAGAGTTAAGATTTCTGCAGAAATGTTCAATAACTTCCATTGCATACCATTAATTTTAATTCCACCCTACTACCTGGTGGCATGGTATCTAGTTTTGTGCTGACAATAAAACATCCTGTAAGATTAAGTTTATCTGGCCTAACATAATTAATGATTTTGGTTTTTTCTAGAGTTACCTACAGCATGTTAGCCACCATCATACAGAAAGGAAAAGGCTGTCTTGTTCCTGTCTTCAATTTCTCACCTGGTAAAAAAAAGCATGATTAAGAGGGGGAAGAAATTGTGAATACTTATCACAAAGAAAGTGTATTGCACCACAGTATGCAAGCCATGGATGAGGTTACTGATAGAAAGCATCACACAACAGCCAAATCCTCTGGCTGTGTATGCAAATATTTGCCTTGGTCTGGCAGTGTGGATGTTCCTGTCAATGGGCTTATTTCAGAACAAAACAGGGTAGCAGCCCTGGAATTGTGAAAAATGTCAGGTGTGAAAAATGTCAGATGCAGTTTTTCAGTAATGCCCAATCCCTTGGCTCTTACACCTTGGAGGATTGCTAAGATTCATTTAGGAAGGTGCTGAACACCTACTGCTGTGCCACAGCACTAAGAGCCCATGCAGATGATAGGCTTCAAAACATAAACAAGTTACCTAATCCTGTGCAAGGCTTTTAATTCATACTCAGCCTGCTGAAAGCTCTGCTTTCCCTCCACCCCCTGGATTTTTAGAAGATGAAAAGGTAAAATCTATACTTAAAACTGCTTATTTTTAAGGGGAAAGCTGCAACTTTAGGACCCCAAAATAATGTAAACTCTCAGTTACAGCATCACAGCTGCAGCAAACAGATTGACACTGCCAAGCTGCAGCTCTTCCCTTGTAGACTGTTAGAGCTGGCACACACTCAGCAGTTGTCATTCCAGTAGAACTCCACCTAAACCCCAGTAACTGCCCTACAAATCTCTCCTGGCTTTTGCCTCTGGGTCCCACTCCATTCCTGATACTCCACATTTTTTCCTTAAACATATCTGGTATAAAATGGGGTTATTTGTTACAGTCCAGCCCTGCATTCCAGCATGTATTTTCACTTCTGTTAGCAGTAGAGGTACCCTAAAAAACATCCAATGTAGCAGCAGAAGGTTTTACACTTGAGCTGCCTCTGTGTACAAGCTATTATCATATTTATAGTGCTGAAAAACTTAAAACCATTATAAAACTTGTGCTTTTGAATGGTCTTACATAATCTTTTCTGAAATTCCTAAAACATTAAGACTTAACCTAACCTCTATGTGTTTTGACCCTAGGGAAAAAAAATTGCATTTGCTGAAGGTATTGGTATTGGCCACTTAGTCCTGAGTATTAAAAGAAAAAAGTCACTGTAGTGATGTTTGCTTTCCTATTGTGAGCTGTGTCAGCTGACTTAAACACAATGTTAAGTTAACATTTCAGAAGTTAAGCAAGGAACTGCTTGGCTGTAAGCAAGGCATTCAGACAGCTTACAGAGCTCACATGGCTCTTGAGTACAAGGAAAGTAACTGACAGGCAAGTCTTACAGTGTTAGGTAACTTGACTGTTTTATCTTTAAAATTCTGTAGTAAAGAGGTCTCACTGAAGACTTGGTCCACAATTCAGTGGTTCTTTTTGTGAAGGGGTCACTGACAAAAGCAGGTGGAAGCCTTGCACATATTCTTAGACACCAGATTCCTGTGCTTTGGGAATCAGTCTGCATGATCCAAAACCTATTTCATTTTCCAAGTGAGTAATTAGCTGTAGAGCTGTGGGGGAAGCTTTGCAAGTTCTGGCCAGAAGACATTTCTCTGCTCATCCCATGGCACATGATAAGACTTGTCAGGACACAACATGCTTTTGCAACAGCCTGATCACATGTTTGAATATTTAGAGTTTGGATTCACTGAAGCAAGGCCTGACAGCTTGCCTCTGAGAGCTAGATTTGACTGGAATAATCACACTTCAAAGCAATTCCAACTTGATAAACTGAAGTTTACCAGGAATTTGTGTTAAAGCAGGGAAGAAAGATGTGCGTGTGTGGAAAGGAACAGCCTCCTGATGGAAGGAGCAGGTTCCCCACACTGCTCCCCTGCCCTCAGCACTCTCCTCCACGCCTCAGGAACCCTGTTGTGACCACCCAGCCACGGCAGGGAGGACTCAGGTGTCAGGAGGCACCAGCTGTGCTGGGGCAGAGGGGATGTACCACCATCAACTCCAGAGGCTGGATCCAGCACACCCTACAGAGAACCCAGGATCATTGGGATGTGTCTGGCAGCAAATGGTGAGAATGGGAGGAGAGTGCTGGGTGACTTTCTCCCCCAGGCTCAAAACCATTGATAGCACAAGCAAAAGCACAATGAATAATGACTGACAGCAAAAAGCATCTGTCATATTCACCCTGGGCAAGGGTTGGTGTTGCCT